AATTAAATTTTTTTATTCAAAATTTCCAAAGATATATGTGAATTTATATATTGGCGTGGTTTGAAATTTGGCATATTTGTTGAAAGAATTAAAACATCAAATGTGGGTTTAGACACTTTGCTAAAATTATTTGAAAGTATGAAAATTTTTTTTCCGCTCATGCACAGTGTAAAAAGGTAAGAACCAGGTGCCTTTTTTTCCCCCTCTGGCATAATGGAAGGTAAAGAAAAATTGGGTGTGATATAGAAGTGCTAAAAAAATTGCAGCAAGAAAAATTTTTGAATTTCTCCATAAATTTCTCACCAAATTTTACAAAATTTAATATCTAGGCATAATTTGAGTCGTAGAATCGAAATATAGAAAAAAATTAGTATGTTATTTCAGAAAAAGTTCGATTTTGTGTCAAAATACCTATGTTAGAACAATGTTATATATAAATCTAATATATATCCTATGTCATGCTTTCGAGACTTGAAAAACACAATTTGAATTTTGTCAATTGGCCCAGTAGAGTGGGTGATATAGAACTGCCCCTCCTTTTTTTGCACAGTGTACTTAGGTTTGACATTAAGATTTTGAGAGATAATTTGGATTTGAGATTTGGCCTGCTCATGTAATTTGCCTTTATGCATGTCAGTCAACATAGTAAAGAAATTAATTTATTGTATTATTGAAGTAATTTGTTTTGTGTAACCTTTTTTTGAGGGGGTATGGTAATCACGAGTCATGGGTTTCCAAATATTTCATTATAGATAAATCATTATTTTTGACCGTATATTCCATTTTCTTTTAGTTTTGAGTTTATGTGGTAAACTTATGTAAAGAATCTATAGATTCTCTAGCATTTCAGAAGTTGAAATGGATTAAAATGCACCATGTAACTGGTTTTTCTGCATCACCATTGAATATGGATAGATTCTTAAAAATAGCCCTTACAGAGTTTTAGTGTTAAAAATGAAATAAAAAATAAAATGGGAAGAAATAGTAACAATGGTGTAAATGAGTTTTTAAAAATTTTTAATATATCAAAAATTTTTATTCTAACATTTCATATAAGTTGCTAGTGATGTTAATCCAACAACATATGTGTGGAATATAATGTTAAATTTTGCATTGGGATTTTTTTGGGTAAAACCATACTGCTGGGTTTTTTTTATAAACAGTATGCTTATTTTTTACTTTTAAAGGGAAAAAGAAACAAAATGCCGAAAAATGATGACATTTAATCCCCAAAATTCACCAATTTCATAGTCATTAGTCTAGAAGTGTACTGATAGAATATTTTCAAACCATGCAAACCATATAAGATGCACGACCACTGTAATAATTTACATTTTAAAATCTATATCATGTTTGATGTAGTGGTAATTTTTATTGTGTTTAAAAAAAATCCTGAAAATTTTTAAAAAAAAATTTGCATAGGTTTTTTTTTAATTTTATTTTTTAAAATTAAAAAAAAAAAATTTTGCTGTATTGCGTATACTCTCTGCTCTTTTTTTAGTTTAGCTTTTAAAGCATAGCAGATTTTGGTTAGTTATAATAGTGCTTGGTTTTATGGCAGTTGAAGGGTATTCTTAAAAATGTGACTACTAGTTTTATATCCTTAAATTCTGCTTCTTCACATGTGCTTCTAGTTCCATTTTTTTAAAAAAAAAAAAAGTAGAATTTTGCAGTATTATTTATAGGGGGCTTGTATGAATATATATATATGTATTTAACTTTTTAAAAATGATACATTCTTTACCTTTACGTATAAAGTTTGCTGAAAAGTACTTAATACGGTAGAGTCCCGCAAACTCGACGTAATGTGGACTGAGAGACTGTCGAGTTTCCAAAAAGTTGAGTTTTACAGAATAAGGGGCAAGTTTTTCAGAGCTCTTTATATTTAACTGTAGACTACTGTAGACATTTGTAGCACAATGTTGAACACGGAAAAGTACAGCATACAATTAAATTAATGTTGATTTTTTTATGTCAAGGACTAGCACAATAGAAGTCATGAAAAGAACAAATACCCTAAGATAATTGAGTAAAAAAAATGTACGTACAAAAATGAAGAAAAATTATGATTAGTTCTTGGTAGAAAAATATTGTGTGATGGTGGATTGTCTCTCGCACTCATTCCGTTGTCATCCAGCTTCATGCATAGACAATAGAGGAAGGAAATGTCCATGCCAGATGCACCTTGCTCCTCCATGTAATGAAGCATACCTTCAGTCCTTCACTGTGGATCATCATTTTAGTTTTTCCATTGTCTTCAATATCTTTGTTTTCTGATTCATCTTCATTTTTATCCATATTGTCTTTCACCAGTGCAACTATTTCTGCATGTAATAAAATTACAATTTTCATCTTGTCCCATCCATTCTTTAACATCACTATCAGTAACTTCTTCACAACTAGGAATTTTCTTACGTCAACTATTTTGAAATTTTTTGTCTTGTCTATGCTTTCGTGAAATTAATTTCCTGAATGGTCCAACAACTTTCTCCAGGAACGAACGAGACATATCTGCTTGATTTCACTTCAAGAATGAGCTATCAATCCAATAACATCCAACGTATCTTTTTCTTCAGGTTTTTGATTATATGATACCCTTCCTCCATGGCTAGGGCAAGAGATGAAGGAAGTTTACGTTTGTATTTTTTCTTCAGTGCCTCCAAAATGCCCTGGTCCATTGGCTAACACATTTAAGTTACATTAGGAGGGAGAGAAAAACTTGGCTCTTATATCTTCATCTCATAACTATTCTGCATCAGGATGGAATGAGGCATTGTCTAGAATGAAAACTGCAGATTTTTTTTATTTTAAAAACTTTTTCACCAATGGAATGAACTGCTGATGAAACCAATCATTAAATATTGCTCCATTCATCCATGCATTCGACTGATTCCGGTACCAAACCAGAAGATCACAGTTGGTTTCAGTCCCATTAGTGTCCATTTTTATATTTTTAAATGCCGGGGGATTTTTTTGATTTACCTCTAAGCACTAGTTTGAGCTTATGGCTGCCTGTTGTGTTACTGCATGCCAAGATTGTGACTCTCTCTCCTTGCTTCTTTTGTAGTCAGGTGCCAATTTTTCTTCCTTGAATTTTCGAAGGTAGCATTTGAATTCAGACTGGTCTCATCACAATTATCTCCAGATATACCCTTCTTTTCAATTATTTTGTGGAAATTATCCTTGAATATTACAGCATTTACCAAGTTAGGAGATAACTTTTCTCCACAAGCGTGTAACTGCCTGATGCCGTACAGCTTTTTCCACCTGTCGAGCCAGCCAGCACTAGCAGTAAATCTACTTTTCTTTTTGAAATTCATAAAATTTTAGGGCTTCCTGTTGTAAATTGGTCCTGAAATGGGTGTTCTCTGTTTTCTTTGCTGCTTTCCTAAACCACAAATAAAACGCCTCGCTTTTTCATATTCACCACCTTTCATACTTTTTTCTTTCTTTTAAACTAGGCGTACATGTCCTTTTCATCCACATCAACACTCAATTTCAGATCTCTCTTTTTTTTTTTTTTCCTCACCCAATCAAAATAGTTCATCCAACACCTAAATATATGGTAATTTTGTTTACACTTTCTCCTTTGTCCAGTCTCTTTAAGATATCTAGTTTCATTTATATATTCACATTGGTTTTGCTTTCTTTTTGAATGGCCCACCAGCGGCCGAGCGGTAAAGTCGCTGAACACTGGTAGTTCGGTCCAAGGTTCGAATCCCGCGAACGGGCTGGCTGCATGGGTGTTTCCGTGGTTTTCCCCATGTGTAACGTGTATACGAGCCAGTTTCCCTTAGAAAGTCCTCCACGAAGGCATCCCTCCCCTTAGGCAGATAGCCTTAGTGTGCTTTCCCATAATTAAATACACACACATACACATACACACACACACTTTTCTTTTTGAATGATATTTTCACTTCACAGAATATCAAAAGTTCCCAAAAATATGTTAACACTTATATGCTGGGATAACAGTACCTGCAATAAATTAGTGTGAGTTTAGTTTGCAATAAGATGCAGTCACAAAACTTCAGACAAGTGTAAGGTTTCACAACACTAAAAAGGAATGTGAGCCAGTGGCCAGCTGCTACCTGACTTTCTTCATATCCTCAAAAGAAGCAAACAGCATTGCCAAGTCTTACAGTATATCTTGAAATTTATTAGGCAGTTCCAAGAAATAATGACACATTCCAAAGTTGAGTTTGCGGGACTCTGCTGTACGTATTTTTAAGTAGGCAACTACAAATTTAATAAGGCATGCTCTTTTACTTAGGATGAAATTTATGTGTAATGTGAGTATGAGAAACATTATTCACTGAAGTATCGCTCCTTTAGGCAGATTGTGTTTGTATGCTTTGCCATAATTAAATCATCAAGTTGAATCCTAAAGCAAAACTTGTTAATCCTTAAATTGAAAAACTTTTGTTTTGTGGCTGCTTTGGTATCTTAAAGCAGCAATATTAAAAAAAAAAAAAAAAAAAAAAAATCTTATATCTTAAATTGTATTGATACTAGGCATGTAAAAATAATCTAATTCAGTATTTTCTCTTTGTTCATCTCCATGAATTTTATGCTGAAAAATAAGAAACTTTTTAAATGTTTAAAGATTAATGAAATTTCATTAAAGGGAATGTGTGCTGACCATATAAAAAATGAAATTTTAAATTTAGCAGAGCATATCCATTCAAAATATGTTCAGATAGTTTTATAAGATTCAATGTCTTATTTAAAAAAACTTTGTAATTGAAATTATAAAACTCAGACAAACAATAATTAAGTAAATAAAGCTTGTAGTCACTTTTTCCAGATGCCCTCTATATGTTTATGCTCTTTTATTTCTGAAGAATGTTTAACTTTAAATTAAAGATTTTATTTAAGCTAGATTTAATGCTTTATTATTTATGTTTATTCTTCTTTGCACACTTTTTAGTTGGTCTTCTGTAGTGGCTTTTTATTCTGTTTTCTGTACGTTCTTTTTCTGCTTTATTGCAATTTGTTAGGGCTTGACTATGGATACCAATGCTCTCTCACTTGAAACTTATCCACAGCAACAACCTCAGTTCGGAGTGTACCCACAGCAACAGCACTCTCCACAACAAAAGTCTTCACAAGGTTATAGCTATGAGCCAACAACACCAACTTCTCCAACTTTACCTCAGGTATATGAAGTTTACTGATATAACATTTTTTAAAAATTGGGTAATTGCCTAATAAAGCAACTTTTGTTTTCTATTTGAAAGCATCTGTATTTATAAAACTTTTGTTATGTAGAAATATTAAAACTATAGCAGATTTTAAAGTAGCTGTTTAACTTCTATATAATTAAAAGTAATAGGCCTGCATTTCTTCTAGCCATGATATGCAATTGATGGGGGGAGGGAAGGGATCACCATCATTTTGCATAGTTGAAAATCTGTGTAAGTTTTACTTCACCAGGAACTAATTATTAATAGCTTGCCTTATGACCTGATACTTTGTCAATAACTTAAACAATACATTAACACACATATTATGTACATGCTTTATGTATTGTATGCTGCATTTGTTTCAACAAAGTAGGCTGAAGACTAGCAGATCTCTACTATGTAATGATTCAAGCAAATTTTTAATAAGAATTTTTTATAAGAATTTTATATTATTATTGTTCTAAATATATGCATTATGATTTTTTAATATTTCTACCAACTACAGCTAAGTCTCAAACGCAGTCTGACAACATTTTTGAGCAAACATGTGTGTTGTTAAATATATATGCCATATTTTATTTTAAGGCTGTATGATTTGTTATTTAGTACACCCTAATGCTACATTTTATTTTTGCACAAAAACAGTGTTAACTTAGATCTAGATTGTGACTGGCATTATGTTTTCAAAGTTGAGATGGGCATAAGATTTTTCTTTTGTTCCATCTCTACCCAAAAAAGACTCAATTTTCATTTCATGTATTGTTTTACTGTATGAAAATGAGTGCAATTTATTTTATTAGTGTAGCAGAATATACAGTACAAAGTCTGTAATCCGACTTAATCTTCAGGGATTCCGGATTAGAGGTTTTTCCGGATTATAGATCATCAATTTAAATCTGGTAAGATGGCATGCAGAAATTATATAATTAAAAATATGAAACAGTAATTTATGAAATAAAGAGCAATTATGATCTAAAGGGTATCAAAATTTACAAAAAAAAAAAGTTTAATTTTTATTTAACTTTATTAAACATTTCAATGCAAGATGTTTAAGTTGTTTCGTTTTTTTGTACTAATACTTTCTCTTTAATTCTATAAACAGACATAATTTCTATTTCCTGTTCAGTTACAAAGTTCTACTGTTCAAGTCCTGTAATTGCTGTGTTGAGAATACCGACTAACTTGTCAATCAAAATGTTTTCGTTTTCAATAACATCTCTGTCACTTTCTTCACTACCGGAAGCGGTATTTTCTGGATCTAGAACCATACTACAGATTTCGCCGTCCGTTGATTGATGCTTGGGGCATTGTCGTTTCAATGAAAAACTTGTGTTATATCATCTTAATTTATTACCGCTTCTCCACATTTCTTTACAAAATCTAATAACTGGAAAATTTCACCTTTAGTTTGCAATGTCCGAAAACCTTGAAATTCACGGCTATCATCTTCATCATTTTCACCATGAAATATAGTAGCTGGCCATAAATTATGCCAAGCATTTTTTAATGTATCTGGAGACACATCCTCCCAACGTGCATTAACATGCATGCGTAAAGCATACCAAAAAAAAAAAAAAAAAAGTTTGTGGCTTTTGAGGTCCGGATTATAGATCATTCCCGATAATGGTAGTTGAGATTACGGACTTTGTACTGTATATGTCATTATATACAACAGAAGATTTAGAAAATTAGCAAGGGGGGGAATTTGCAAATTCAATTCTATGAACTTAATTCATTCCTGAAGCCTGTTCATTGTTTGAAATGTATGTAAACTGAAACTTCTACGACAGATGATTGTTTCTTTAAAATTTACTACATTAACTTGTACACAAGTTTAAAAGACAAAACCAGTAGAAATCATTAAATCAAAATCAATAGAAATACACTGCTCGACATTGAAAATGCAACACCAAGAAGGAGTGATCAGAAAGTGATGAAATTTGGAAAAAAGACAGAAACAGCAAGCAGCAATAAGTGATCTTTATTTCAAAATGATAGTCAGAATACAGAGCGAGAACGGCGTCGGATCAGTAGGATGTAGGACCACCGCGGACAGCGATGCACGAAGAAACACGTCAAGGCATAGAGTCAATAAGAGGGCAGGTGGTGTCTTAGGTGATGGCTCTCCATTCCTTTTTAACCATTTGCCACAGTTCGTCTTCTAAACGAGGCAAGGGCAGAGTCTGCAAACAACGTCCAATTACATCCCACACACATGTTCGGTTGGTGACAGGTCAGGAGAGTACGGTGGCCAGGGAAGCAATTGTATGCCTTGCAGAGCATGTTGGCAGATGCGAGAACTGTGTGATCGGGCGTTATCCTGCTGAAACATTGCATTAGGCAGCCCCTGAATGTAGGGGATTTCTACCGGCCGCAGTACATTATCCAAGTATTGTTAGGCCGTCATAGTGCCCTGAATATGAACTAGAGGTGACCTGGAATCATAGGCAATAGCGTCCCAAACAATTGTGCCACATTGTCATGCGGTGTGGCGTTCCGCAGTTACTGCCGGATTAGATCTGTCTCCACGTCGACGGCACACACGTATGCGCCGTCTGTCACTGGATAAACAGAAGTGTAACTCATCTGAGAACACGATGTTTCGCTATTCTGTTATCCATATCGCTCCATTCTGGCACCATTCTAAATGCTAGCGTCTATGCTGTGGGGTCAATGGCAGTCTTATTAACGGACGCCGTGAGTGCAGGCCACGTTCAACCAATCGATGGGAAATGGTTCTGGTCGACACGGGAACATCCAGGATATCTTGCACATGCTGCAGAATCGCTGTACAAGTGACTTGCAGAACTGCCACAGCTTGTTGGCGGATGCGTCGATCCATGTGTCACTCTGGCTGCACCTCTCCTTCTTCCTACATTTCCTTGTACCAACCATGTTCGCCATAGCCAATGCACCGTGGTCCCATCCATGTGGGTATCAGCTGCGATTTGACGTAAGGACCAACCCGCCCTTCTCAGTCTGATCACCACACAGATATGATTTTACAAGATCATATACTGCTGGAAGTGCCTTCGTTGACGGCAGCCAGGCCATTCTCTCTGATTACACGTATCCTCCAGGACAAAAACCAACTTTCTTCGATAATTTGTCTGGCAGAAATAACGAAACGAATATTGCTCATTCTGCATGTTTGTTCCTTTCCTTATATCTTACTTCACGTGCGTCAGAGAGCTGCGCATTTCACATCATTCGCATAACTCAGTGACGTGCGTCTACTCTAAAATTTGCATAAATTTCAGACCAGTCCTTCTTGGTGTTGCATTTTCAATGTCAAGCAGTGTATTAAATCTAAGACAAACAAATAAGCAAAAACGGGGATAAGCACTGTATTAAATTGATAGAAAAGACAAAAAATTTAATTTTACTGTGCCTGTATGAAAGAGGAGATAGCATAAATGGAAAGTGATGAGCAAGAAGTTTTATACAAAGAGCCTCCTTCCACGAAAACATCAGATAACTCTCAATTTAGAGCATCTTTTATCTTTTTTAGTTGTTTAGTGATGCTTAACTCTTAAGATTTGCTGGTCCTCTATTCCATTCAAGATTTGTTCAGTATGATTTATTGTTGACTACATTTTAAAATGTTTCTAATGTTTGACGTGGAATTGTCATCAAAAATACTTATGTTGTAGCTTACTATTGTTTTTTTTTTATTAAAGCAATACCATTGCATGAATCTTTTTACCTTATGACATTTTGCATAGGGTTCATGGATCAAAGTACCGGCTTTATTTTTTTCTTCCCTCTTTGTCTGAAAACTTTTTCTCCGAAACTGTTTTTTGTTGCTGCTTCTGAAGTTATTTTATTGCTTTCTTGTTGAGCTCATTTTTGTAATCTTTTAGCAATCCTTCGTTGTCTTTATTAACTTCCAAGTTTATAGTATTGCTTAACCATGCAACATCACATATAATGATAAAAAGTATTTTTTAGTTTCAAAGTTTTCAAGATATCTGCCTGCAGCACAATCTGGTCATAATTTCCACCAGGGTGAATTCATGGTTCTGTAAATCATTTTCTGCCAGACTTTGTTAGTGAGAGCTAAGCAACGGAAAATATCAAAACGATGCTTCTTGAAGTCTCAGAGTATTATCTCTCACTCAGAATACCCTAAAAACATTTGAAAACCATTCACTGTTGATTTGTGAATGTGTAACTTGAGAAACTGTTTGTCATCTGATGCCCTTTTTGTTCAGATCCAGCATGTTCATGATGAGAAGCATTTGTGTTTTGAGACATTTGAAAATATTAAAAATTATTATAATATAGGGATAAGAAATTCAAAATTGTAATTTTTTCCCAAATAAATTAAAAGAATTACACAGTTTTTCAATTCCAGCTTATGTAATTTTCCTTTCTAAGAAACCTAGTTCTGTAAATAAAAAATACATATATTTATGAAATTTTAAGGGTTTAGCTAGGTTTAAAGATAATTATAGGATAATATATATAAAATGTCATTTTTTTCATGTAAAAATCTTTTTCCTTGAAATAATATAAAATTTCAGTGAATTGACAAATCTCTTGTTGTTTGAACTATCAAGCTATTAACCCTTTCGCGACGGCGCACCTTTGTTTAAGCCGCTCGTGCAAGACGAAAGGGAATCGAAGGCAGTTACCGTACAGGACAGAGGTTTTGCATAGCTAAACCTAATTATATATATATAAAATCAGAAAAAAAGTTTTTTTTCCTAGCATTGTAATTTTTGGTATCATTTTAGATTATTACTTAAGCTTTTATATATGTTAAAATTAGCACTTAATAACCTTTTTTCCTTTATTTTACATAAAAATATACTTAAAAAATTGCTTGTCTTGTAAAAAAATTTTCGGAAGCACTATTCAAATTATTGCAAAGTTTTAATTAATAAAATCCATCAATAAAGTTTAAAATTAATAAAACAACACAATAAAGACTATTTACAGTAAGTAGTAACAAAATTTAGAATGAAGACTGAGTGTGGTAAATCTCGAAGCACGGAGGAGTATCACTTTCTAAGTCTTTAGAAAATGAATCATCACTCTCATCTGTGTTAGTAAATGGTTCATACAAGGCTATTTTTCCTCTGTAGCACCTTCACACCGTAATAGACTGGAGGTGAGGCTTTCCGAAATAAAAAGAGAAGAAATGGAAATATATCTGAAGGCAATGCAAAACATAACAGAACTCCACATAGTAACCCTAAAAGACTGTACATAGTAGAGAGAAAAAATAGAATAAAAAATGGAATTGGATATAAATCAGACACACGAATGTTTATATTAGCATGCAGGGATTTAAAGAGCCCACCTCTGTTTATGCTTTCCCTCCCCCCCCCAACTTCGCAACAGTGGGTGAGTGAAATACCAAAGTTAGGCAGAATATATCAAACTCAAGATCAGGAACCTAAAATTGTGTTCATTTCAAAAATAATGGACATAGAATGCCATCTAGTAGTCTTCAGAAAAAATGTTCCAGCTTAAAATGCATATACGTATCACCCATCCATACATGGATAGAATGCCTGGCTGTAACACATGCTCTTAGGGAATGCGTATATGGGACGCCCGTCCTGAAAGGGTTAATGTATTAAGACACAATAACACGCCGAATAAATACTAATTCAGAAGTCAAACAACAAAAATCAGCGTTATACCTACAAAATTTTCACAGGACTAGTTTCGATGGTTTTACCGAACCATCATCTTCAGCTGCAAAACCGCAAATGAAAAATATTTTTCATTTTCGGTTTTGCAGCTGAAGATGATGGTTCGGTAAAACCATCGAAACTAGTCCTGTGAAAATTTTGTAGGTATAACGCTGATTTTTGTTGTTTGACTTCTGAATTAGGGTTAATGTATACTAAGGACAGATTGTACTTCAGAAGGCAAAGGTTTCATAAGACTTTATGCAGATTTTTATTTTGTATGGCTGAAATATATTGGCAGTAATGAGCTATGAAATCAATTAATATATATGTGTTAATGTGTTACACTTTGCTTTAAATCTACTGACTGCTGTATCTTACATCCCAGACAAAAGTGCAATTTTTCTAATTGCATATCCCCCCACATCAAAGCATCTGCTACATTAGCCATACACCTTCCTGCAGCCCTGTAAAGATTAGCCTAAGAATAAAAGTTGTTACAGTAACAATCATTAACATCAAGCAAAGCAGTATTCCTTGTCAAATGATGAAAATTCATTAGTTCTTCATGTTGACATAAGGAATAAGAGGGAAAATCAGCCACATCATTTTGGTGCAAGTGATACACACAATATTTAAGAGGGTTTTTCTTCAATAAGTTAATAATACCAAAATATAAAGCATAGACTTACTGGATATTTATGTAAAAATATTGTCTGTTGTTGAAAAATGTTGTATGTTTTGATGCTATTCTTGGTAGCTCTTTGAGTTGTTTACATTCCTGTTGCTTTTAATATGCTTTCCTTGTTAATATCTTTTAAGTTCCTTATCTTTTACTTTAAAAAAACTTCTTACCAGACCTCTAATGTCAGTTACCTATTTAAAAATAAAGACTTTTTTGGAGAATTTTTGTAATTTTATTTAAAAATTTACAGTTATGACGCCAGAAATTGCTTATGCATTCCTGAGCTAGTAAGATTCCTTCATTTGTTGGGAAATTGTGTATGTCATTTTCCATTTGTTTTAAATATTTTATTATAAAATCAGAGCATTCTTCCTTATTATTTTTGCTTTAAGTATTTTATTATGAATCTCTGCATTTTTTCCTGACAGCTTCCTATGGGTTCATACAGAAGCACTAGTCCTGCTGATCACTCGTGTAGTGCTCCAACATCCCCAGTATCTCACAGTCTTTCGCCATCAAGTTCACCAGGTCTTGGTTCAAATACCACATTAAGCAACAATTCATTTCCTGAAGCAAGTTACTACATTCAGCACCAGCAAACTAATGCTTTGCAACACCAGCTTGAACAGTTCAAGATGGTGGGTGACCTACAAGTCTGTGAATGCTTCTTCATGGTAACTTCTCTCAGGCTTTACCTAACTGGTTGCTTTATGTACAAGGGAAATCAAACAGCTGCATATTCCATTGTAGAATCTTATATTTAATTTTAAAAGCATATTTTCACTTAATATAGCAGTAAAAGTATAGGATGTTTCATATGAAACAAAATCCTTAAATTTGATGGACATCTTCAGCAACTTCTTGCAACCTTGTTCCTAGTCAAATACATATTTCTTTTCTCAAATTCTAGCATCTGCTACGGCCTTCATGAATAATCATGCACGAGTGCGTTTTTATCATTATTGGTAATTCATGCTAGCCATTACATAGTCGTAGTATGTGACACACAAACACACAAAATAAATAAAATAAAAAAAAAATAAAATAAAATAAAAAACAACCAACATTCAAAAATAACTGTCAACTATTTTTTTTTTGAAGGTATTTCGAACAAACAACAAATATATTCTGAATGTCTGCCATCAATCTTTCAAAACAGTTTTCAGTACAATGCAATATATTTTAGGTGTTGCTGCTGTGCAAAGATATTAAGTATCTATGTCTTTCCAGCCATAAGCATGTGTTTCTTTTCCTGGGTCCAAAGGTGTCCACTTCAATATGAGAGCACCTCTAGAAATCTGTATGCATCTGTGTTACTAGCATGACCCCCATTCTTCATTAGCTCATAAAGTCATTAAGCTATCTTGTTTTTGGTAATTTTATTGGTTTTAGAGATTTTGAACTACTGAAAATGTATAACTATCATAAGGATTCTTTAGCAAGATAGTATGACATGCATTGCATCCATCTTGAAATTCAGTGCTGAGAGTAGATGATTATTAACCAGCTTAGTATCTTTTGCCACTACTGTTCATTCCATTTGAGTAGCTTCTTAAAAATTTCTGACTCATTTGGGGGCGATATTTTAAAGGAAGAATTCTGGCAATAAGCCATAAACTTATAAAAACATGGGAACAGTAAATGTGAAATTGGAAGCATTGCTACAAGTATGCTATGTTGGAGTATGTTCTTGGTAGTTGATGAAACTCGTTTCAACTTGAACTGTGTTTATTATTCGACTTAAGCAAGCGTCCATAAGTTCCACAATTTCTTGACCCTTTCACACCTTTCATTACTGATTTTTCATTTATTTTGTATTTGATTCAATGAATCAACTTAGCTATTTTCTATGAACTTATAAAAAACTTTTTTGCTATGTGTTGGTGCTATGTGTGGTTTTTGCTATTACGATGATATAAGCAAATAATTTCCAATACAGCGGTATTACATTTGTTACAGCATTTATTGCAGTAACAGTAGATCTAAAGTTGATATAAAGATACAGAGATATTCTTGAATTCTTATTGCATGTCATTCTGATGTGTTCTGGCATAATTTTTTTTAATGGATGTAAAAAAGAAGGCGTAGGAAGTATGTGGCATGTGAAGTTGTGAGAGCTGTTCTGCACATAAGCTCTTTGTCTTTCTAAGTATTGCAGTATACACTTTTTTGATAAACAAAAAGTTTCTTGATAGGTTTTATAAACATTCAACAAAAACATTTTATAAATGTATTATAGGATAATATAGCTTATTGATAATTTTATTAATATAAGCATTATAATAAATAAAAGGTTATTCTGATGGCTATAAATTATGTGCCTGTCCTCTAGAATAATTGATTTCTTATATAAAAGAGTATATAACTTTTTATTTTGAGAAAAATATTCTTTTAAGAACACTTAATTGGGGGAAAATTCTATTTTTGTATTTTTAAACAAAAATTTTGCATGTCACACATAGCAAAAAAGTTTTTATAAGTAAAAGCATTATTATGAAGAAAGTTATTAAAAAATATGCAGACACACATAAAATTCTTCCCTTATTCTGATATGAATGATTGTACCTAAGAGCAGTAATATGTGGTGCAGTAACGAAGGAATAGAGTATTATAAACGTTTTTCAGATATAAAATATCTTTCATATATTTTATTATTAAATGTTGTCTTTCCTTTATATTTACAGAGGTGCTAGATTTAAATAAATATATTATTCTGTTTTTGGAAATTGCTGCTGTTTGTAGACTTTGTACATTACTTTTCCTGTAACCTTTTAAAACTGTCTGCTTTTTAACCTTTGACTATTCAACACCCCCTTCAATGTTCCTTCTGTGTACTAAATTTAAAAATCTCTTATCGAATGACTTTGAATGAATTAATAACCTCTTATTGATTGTAGCATATCTTGACATTTTTGAAGACTGTCTGTATTTAAAAAATAGTAGACTAAATACAAGTTTTTTTTTTGTTTGTTTTGTATCTTTATGAATGTTATTTTTTCCTGTGTATTTTTCTGTGTTATATATTCTCTAGCAATAATTGCATGAATATGACAGTTCTTAATTTTGCATTTTGTGGCACATTAAATTACAGAACTCAAATTTTTAATGGGACCACAATGAATCCTGTTAAAAAATCTAAGTAACATTGATCTACACATATATTGTTATGTAAGTGAAAGTGTCCAATCTTAACTTATTTGGGAAAAGTTCAGCTGGCTCTTATTTTGGTGCAACCAAAGAGGAGGTGGATGTATATCTGTCAAAATCTGATTGTAAATACTGTTGAGCATGTGCCAGTGTTACAGTAAAATCATAACATCTGTAAAAATATTCACTAATAATTACTTAGTGGGATTAACGAAGATAATTTTTATCAGGAATGTAAATAACAGCTCTCATTATGTTTGAAAGTGACAATTACCCAGAGTGCACAAAATCATCAATCATGCTTAGAAAATTAGGACACAAAGAGCAAAATATTATACTTAATGGAGAAACATGCTCCTAGTTATGTTATTGATTTTAATTGGTATTAAAAATACATGGTTATGCAGTTTTATCAGCAGAACTGATAACACTGTTCCTTATGGAATGAAAGCTACAGTAGATCCAAACAAAAGTTTTGATTTCTCTGCCAGTAAAGTAGAAACACTACACTTTTTTAAAGTTGAAGAACATTTTGCCTTTCGTATGACATCAAAGCAAAAATGATAAAGAGAGCTTTATTCTGTAACATCAGTATTGGTAATTGTTTGATAGTCTAACATTCCATAATACTCCTCAGCGTCATTTCTCATACTTAGTAAAAGAGAAAGGGGGAAAAAGTCTACTTTTTGTACTTTGGATGCAAAATTGAAAAGGGAATGTAACTATGTGTCATTATATCAAAGGTCCTGTTGAGTTGTGAATGTATCACATAAGAGAGATGACTGGAGACTTTTAATTGTCCTTCTGAATTCTCTTTGAAAACAATTTTGCTTCATAACAGCAATGTTCATCCTTCATTACTTTTTGCTTATACTGTTGATTTTAAGGAAACGTGGAGTTGCCGACTGTCTTGATTTAGGCGGGAGACTCCTGATTTCAGACTGTTCTCCCGCCAACCCAATTTTCATGTTAAAACGTAGCATAAGTTTTGCTGCAGCGTCTATATGAGACCAGTCCAAGAGCCTGTGTGTGTTCATGAGATGAAATTTAGTAAGAAACAACTTCATCATAAAAAAGGAGGAATTTGTAGAATTGTGCAATTAATTTCACCCCCCCCCCCCGGAGGCTGAATATGTATTAAAGCAAAATATGAACATGCCTCTTTGTAGCAAGGAATTTTTAAATAGATGTGTCCCACTTCATTAAAGAAGACACGTTTTATAATACAATTTTAATAATCTGTGACTTAATTTGTCAATACCTGTAATCCCCATTTCTTTTTGGACATAAACAGACACAATTCTGATTTTTAGGAAATTCAGCAGGTTAAATTTAACCATATTTTTTTTGTAATATAAACATACGAGAAAAAGTTTTAATGGAAATAAAAAATTAAAGGAGCTAATTTATTTCACTGTCATAGTTATATGGTCCTTAAGAGTCCTTAGATATTTTGGAATCGATTTTTGTTCCTTAAAAATCCTTAATTTTAGTCAAAATCAGTAGAAGGTCCTTAACTTTAATCATTTGAAATTTCTGTCTGTTTTTACGACTGCCATTTTGAGTGTGAATTAGCATTTTGGTGGGATATTTGTTGCAATTCACTGACATATATGGTTATCTTTTGAATGGGTTCATGGGTTATAATTTCTAACATAAATGATGGGATACTCGAGTTTCTAAGCAAGAAGTGAAACATACGCATTTCAAAATTCTTTTTTTCTAGTAAAGAGCTCTTAAACAACTTTTCGCTTTTGGGGATGTGAATTTTTTTATTAAACAGTTCTAAAGTTGGCGACTTATCAACACTTTGGCAATTTTAAGATCAGTTTCTATAGAAAATTTTTAGTTCTGTGATTTGAGAATTTTTCGGTGATTTTTTTTTAAACATCATAACATTCATAAATTTCGTTAAAATAATAGATTGAAATTATATTTAAAAATAACATTAAAATAAAACATTTTTATTTTTCGCTGTCATATTACATACCTGCCAACTTTTACGAATTTTTCGTAATTTTTACGAAAATGCGTTTGTCTTTACGATTTTACGATCGTAATCCATTTTTTACGATTTTTTTCCTTTTTCAAGTGTTTTTAGTGATTTTTGTCGAAATTTTGGAATTTTTCGCCAATCGCATCGTGTTTTACCGCCAACTACCGATTACTTCGAGTCCAGTAACCTGCGGTTTCTCCCAACTCGCCGCTTAACCAGCCAATCCAATGCGCTGAACTTGTTTCTCCCACTCTTTTCTTTGTGGGCGCCAGATTATTTTTTTAGCGTGGATTGTCGCATTCTGTTTTTTTTTTTTTTTTTTTTTTTTTTTTTTTTTTTTTTTTTTTGTTTTTTTTGTTTTCTCGTGCTACGAATTTTCTTAATACGTCGTTGTTACGAAATGAGTTAAAAAAAACCATATTCTCAATATTTTCGGCCTGCCTACAAAGCCGAATTTCCAACAATTAAAGAATCCTTCAAAAGAAATAACTATGCATTTTGCAACGTGTGCGTGTGTGACTTCATAATAAG